ACCCCCGATCCAGACCAGCCGCCGCCGCCGCCGGACCCCGCGATGCCCCCGCTTACGGCTCACGCCATGCGGCAGCTTCGCCCGGGTACAAAGGCCGAGGGTATGACAGACCCGCGGCTGCCAAGCCGTACGAGATCGGGCACGAGGCACAGCACAGGACTCATCTCGATGCTAGACAGGAACACTCTGGTGTCGATGCTGGAGGCTCGGAGCGCGGTGGATAAGGAGCGCAGGGAGCTGGGGGGGGCGGAGGCCGGAGAGCCGGGGGGAACGGGGGCCGGAGAGCAGGCGGGAGCACTCGCAGCAGTGGACCCGGGGGCTGCAGGAGCGGGCTTTCCACTCGCATTTGCCACGCTCCTCGCCAACCGGGAAGACATCGACGCCACGCTGCGAGACCAGCGCCCGCCGGAGCAACGCCCTGACCTTCCGCATTGCCAGGCCAGCGACCTTCGTGTTCCCAAGAGCTACAAAGAGGCCATGGCGTCGGAGCACCGGCACCTTTGGAGCGACTCTATGCAAAGGGAGTTTTATGGCTTGTTGGAAGCGGGGACTTTTACTCCGGCGAAGTAGCAACTAGTGGAGAACGCAATTAACGCTAAGTGGGTATTCGATTGGAAGGCAGATGAGTTTGGATGGCCCACTAAGGTTAAGTCGAGACTTGTAGCGAGAGGTGATATGCAGAGAGAGTACATTGACTTTGGAGAGTTGTACGCGCCTACCGTTTCTGTTTCATGTGTTAGGATGTTGGCTGCTTTGGCGTGCGAGTTGAACCTCGACTTGTGTCATTTCGATGTTGAGCAAGCTTTTGTGCGTTCGGAGTTGGAGGAAGACGTGTACATGCGTTTGCCGCAGGGATGTGGAGCTCTATCAGGAATGATTGTAAAACTAGGCAAGAGTCTGTATGGCTTGAGACAGGCATCTAGGCAGTGGCATGCAATGCTGAAGAGGTGTTTGGTGGCGTTAGGATTTGAGCAGTGCATGGCCGATGCTTGTGTGTTTCGTTTGATTGAGGATGGATGTGTTGTTTTGATTTTGGTTGTACATGTAGATGACATCTTTGCTGTTGGAGAGAGGGAGAGATGTGATAAGTTTGGCGCTGACCTTAACAAGTCCGTGCCAGTGAAGAACCTGGGAGAGTTGAGATGGTATTCTGGGTGCTTTTACGAGAGGAATAAGGAGACCGGTAGGTTGACGATTTCTCAGCAGACTTTCACGGACGAGCTAGCAGCAGAATATGGAGTAGTGGGAGGTAGGAGCGTTCCGATGTCTTCGGGTGTGAAGCTTTCTGATTTTGATGCGGATGAGGTGGCGACAGAGTTTCCGTTTCGTGAGCTGGTAGGATCGTTGATGTGGCTGGCGACTCAGACTAGACCAGACATTGCGAATGCAGTAAGGGCAGTAGCTAGGTATTGCGCATCTCCGAAGCTGGTACACTGGAATGCAGCGATGGATATTTTGGGCTATGCGAGGAGGACGAGTCACTTTGGTATTTCGTTTCAGAGAGGTACGGTAGAGGGATTCAGCTTGCAGGGATACGCTGATGCGGACTTTGCAAGCAAGGCAGCAGACCGTAGGTCGGTATCAGGGGGGATCGTGACGTGTGGAGGAGGCGCTGTGTCTTGGTTTTCCAGAACGCAAAAATGCGTCACGCTTTCGACGACAGAAGCAGAGTACGTCGCGCTAGGCGACGTAGTGAAGGAGATTTTGTTTTTGAGGCAGATTTGGCGTTTCATGTTGCCGCAGGTCGGCATGCCGTGCATCCCCGTCTTCGAGGACAACCAGGGGGCGATTCAACTAGCGCAGAACCCCATCTCAAACTCGAACTCGAAGCACATTGATGTAAGGCACCATTTTCTCAGGGAACTGGTAGAGAGGAAGGAGATTTCGGTGATTCACGTGCCGTCTCCGTACCAGCGTGCAGACTTTCTTACGAAAAGTTTGCCCAAGGATGCGTTCGAGTCTCACCGTGATTTTGTGATGAATTTGGCATGAGTTTTTATTATTTTTCTGATGAGTTTGGTTTGGCTTTCGATTTGATTGTTTTGCTTTCCGCGCTAAGTTATTTTCACGCGCGATGCAGCAGTATTCATGTTTCTTGGACTTGGTTTTCGTGTCATATATTTTGGAAGTAATCTTGATCGCATATATTCAGGAAAAGACGTCTTTTGGTTGAGATATCCGATATTGTTTCGTAGTTTGCAGTGAAGATACTGTTGCGAGCAGGGGGGATGTAAGATATACTCGCAGCAGTCTCTAGACGTGAGGATCCTCGGGGATACGTGTTGAGAATTTCGTATGTTGATGGGTACCACCGATGCAGATACGGGGACCCTTTTGGCCTTGGTTGCGGTGTTGAAGGCTCGCGCATCTAGCGCACTGCTTTCGCTCTCTCCACCGCTACCGCCGTCTCTCTCCAATCAAGTTTCCTTCTCCAACGCTTTCTCCAACGCCAACGCAATCTCAATCTCTACCTCTCTCTCTCGGCCTAACACGGCCGACTACCCACTGCCCCAACAGACGCCCAACACGGGCTTGCTGCACCCCGCGTAGTTTACCTTTCAATATTGATTCGATACTGTGCAGGAGTTTTGGTCAAAACCCCGAATGACGTCGATGGAATCTCTCTTGCCACAAAGCGATACAGAGATACTTGCTTCCGCACATTCATCGCTCTGCCCACCACGTCGACGCAAAAAAACATGACCGTACACAGGACGTGGCTAGGCTGGACTTCAAGCTTTCGAGCAGGCGTCAAGAGATGGCGGCAAGGCGAGAGGAGGAAAGGTATTGACAAGAGAACCTTCCCCATCTATGCAAGTCCCTATGCTAGACCTCTGCTATTATAGCGCCCCCCTAAAATAAGGCGAGGCCTGCCCATTGTGCAATAGGCCTGCCCGACGGACAAGAATCAGCACCTGTTCATTTTCCAAGCCGTTCAGCCCTATTCTATTCATCATCTCGTCTTGCCAGGGGGGGGGCAGTGCTGCTGACGAATCAACGGCAACAAACACCCTTCAGATCCTGAGTCCCGTCCCAATTTCCATCCGTCACGACTCTCGTCTTGGGTGCGTAGTAGGTCTTCATAGATAGATAGATTTATCTTGCTCACACTAAGCATTGACACCAGTGTGCCCGACACATTTCGGACTTTGCTTACATAGCTTGGGAGCGATTGTGGTGAACATTTGAACGACGTTTCGCTTTACGCTGTAGTTTATTCTGTAGGCGCACGTGCCGCGATATACATCGTGCGTGATGGTCGTGATGGTCGAATGTTTCGCAATTCCTCCAGAGAGCCGGGCCGAAGTTTGTTCGTTTCGTGGGTTTGTACCCTCCTCGCGATCAATGAACAATTGGTGGCTGTAGTTGTCGTTGTTTTCTTCTCTTGTTGTTGTTATTGTTATTGTTGTTGTGGTCGGTATCGTTGTGGCGTTATCTCTGCGTAGACTATGCCTGCCTGACGTCTGGAGGTACATTCCTTGTGGTGATGTACGGATGCAGGCTGGGAGCGAGGAAACGGCAGCAGCAGCGCCGGGAGTGGCTCTCGGTTTTGTGTACGGTCGTCCCGCTCATCGCGCTGGCTGAAACGCTCGGAGCAGCTGACGCCGCCGTCGAAACGACGAAAGCGACAAACCATGGAGCTTAACGTAGTCACGAACTGAGGAAGCCCATGGGGCGGGCGGTGGTTTGGGAGCGTGGCGATGCGCGTACCATTCAAAGCGGAGCGGCGTTCACGCTCATGCATGTCAAGAGCCGCGAGGGAACGCAAGGAGGAGGAGGGGAGAGTGGGGGTGGGGGTGGGATGACCGTCCGTCTTCTCTCACGTTGGTCAGGGTGTGGGATGGCGACGTCGTCGTGACTGCACGACCGACATGCTTCTCGTCATTACCACTTCGTAGCTTTTACATTTGAGGAAGCCCCGTCGCTTCGTAGCAGCAGCTGCAGCTTTGACAACAGCGGCGCCGAAAAGTGTGGTGACCCACGTTTAATCTCGGGTCATGGAACAAAACTGACTTCCAGTCACAAAATGTTGACAGTTTTCTATCCGACACGGGAACCTCGAAAATCTGAACGTCCACCGACTGATGCCGAGTCACTTTCAACACGTTTTTTTCCCGGGTGTTGTCGTTCACTGGAATCGCGACTTGCCGAAGCACCCCAAATTGGCTCCCATCTTTCGAGAGAACGAAAAAGGACAAGGAAAACGCCTCCTTCGGCTATTCCCTCCCCTTCTATCGTGGAAATGTTCACTGTTCGCGGGGAAAAAGTGGGCCGGACATTGAAGGCCCTCAAGGTTGTCTGGTTTCGTTAGGGACATCTGAGAAGCCAGGATGCAGTCGGGGAATTTTCTTCCAGCACCAGACGCTATGAGCCGGGCTTCCGGAGATAGATAAAAGCCCTGTGTTCGTGCGCTGAACCGTGGAAAATGACAACATGTCGGGCGGCAACACAGACCGGCCTGATCAGAAGAAAGCTGAGAGGCTTTCAGCCCCCATACCGTGGCTTGTGGGGATCGGATCACAGCTGTACTTCTAGAAACTTGTCTTTTATTCCTTCGTCGCATCCGCATGAAAGTGTATGCCACACCGGTACGTACGTGAATTACATGAGCTAGACTGCGTTCATCCATCAAACTAGCCCCCCCGCACCCCCCCCCAACAAAATCTACATCTACACCAAATCCAAGCCCCTCTTCTCTGCCAACGTGCCGAACCCCCCCCCCGGCGGTCGTGGGCAAGTGTGTATCGTATCGTACGAGGAGAGCTCTACAGAAAAAAACAACAAGTGAAGAGAAGATGCTGCTGCTGCTCCCCGCATCGGACCCCCCCCCCCCCCCCCCCCC